TTGAAATTTCTTTTTAATTTGCATAAAATATCCCCTAATTCTCTTTTGTATACTTTTCTTTGAACATTTGCCCCTTCCTTTCTCCATCTAACGTGAGAGCTTTTCCCCCTTTATTTCTCTTTCCGTTTCTCAATCAAAGGACTATATGTACTCCGTAATTATAACGACCTCGCATCCCGGAGAGCCCAGAATGGAACCGGAGCGAGATAGCCCGACCCGGCTTACTGCCATCACTAGTTTTGCGGCTGTCGCCGCCGGAGGCACTAGCTCCGACTGCGAAACCCCCCCATCGGCCTCTTCCTCATTCCCCGCCGTCGTCAACCAGACTCTCCAGCTCATCCGCTCCGATGACCCGGTTTGCAAAATCCATGCCGCCGGGGAGATCCGGCGCCTCACCAAGACTTCCCATCGCTACCGCCGTCACTTCTCCAACGCCGTTGAATCTCTCGTCGATATGCTCCGCTCCGGCGCCGTCGAATCCAGCGAGGCCGCTCTCCTTGCCCTGCTCAATCTCGCCGTCAAAGACGAAGGGTAAATTCCCTAGCCCTTTTACGCATGATCGGTTAGGTTTGCTTAGACTATTTATATTCATAAAATATCTTTTCATAATCGGAGTATTCTGCCATTAGAGATTATCCCTTGCACGCTTCGATTTCTTGTATTGCTTCTGTATGTTGCCTGTTTTGGGAAGGGTTATCGGGAGTGGCTTCAGTTTTAATTTTCTTCCCTTTTCTGTCTCCTATCCTTACCATTTCCTTCAATCAATCATTTGTTCTTTCTTTTCTGGCCCTGTCTTGTTTGCTTGCAGATTAAAATAATACTTCCCAAATCATACAAGATGATTAAAAAGGATTTTTGGTACAAGTAAATGGTAAAGATTGATTATTGTTACCATTATATTTCTTGAAAATGATGCACTGATCAAAAGCTTTATTTCCTCGAGTTCTTGGTTCCAATGGTGTTACATAAATTCAAGTTCTCTTTAAGAAATATGGAGTACTTTTGGATTGTTATGCTTTATCAAGAAGACAAATTCATACCTAACCTCTTACAAATTCACTCTAAACCCTTTTACCCACATTTTTTATCTAGCCACAAAATACTGGGACATGAACACGGTTCTCTATTCATCGCGGGTAGGGGCGTACGAACATCATACTGCACCTTCCCTTGCACACCCCACTTGTGAGAGCAGACCGGGTTCGTTGTTGTTTTTGGTTGCTTCTGATTGGTTGCGGATGTTTGAGTTTTTTGTGAAGTGCCAAAATAGTGAAACTGGCTAAGGTTTCTGTAATCCTTGGACTTTAGATTGTTATATGCTGACCAACTTAGAATTTGAGATTGGATTCTTTTTTATATAAAAAAAAACTTTTTTTAGGGCAATGGATATATTTTTTTTTTTAAAAAAAATATTTCTTGCTAAGATGATTAAGTTGAATACAAACTCACATCAGCTGCTTTTCCTTTTTATTCTTTCTCTAAGTTTTTTTTTTTTAAAATCCATGGCTTAGAATAAAATGCTTTTTCGCCTCATGTTGGTTAACTTAGCTGGTTGCCATGTTTTATTATTCTCATGTTTGATATTCCCCTTTTCTTTAGTCTTGCCTGTGAAGCTTTCACCTTTATTGGATTGTGATCCATGAGATGAAATCCATACTTTTCAGTAAAGTATTCTCCTTTTCCCCAATCTTGTGTACAATGAAATGAATAACATGAATATTGTAGACTCCTTAAATGCTTCTTCAAATATAGTGCTTGGGAATAGTCTTTTTTTCTTTTTTCTGTTTTCACATAACAAAAGGTGTCTGGTAAAGAGAGTTTGTGCTCTCGCAGTTATTCTCTTTACCATTTACTCCGGGGTAGATGATAAATTGGTGGTAAACTTGACTAAATCCCCATTTGAATAAGCCATTTCAGTGAAGAACCAAACGGGACTTTTAAATCTGCATCCACTTATTATTATGATAAAAGCATCTGTTAGCATGTAAAATTAAGAATAGAATGGATTATTAAGAAACCATCTCTATTAATGGTATAAACCTTATCTTATACTCCGTACATTTTTTTTTAAACTTCTTGCAGAAATAAGGTAAAAATCATAGACGCTGGTGCTTTGCAACCTATCATATCATTTCTAAAGTCCAAGAATGCGACTCTGCAAGCGCATGCGACCGCTTCCCTCCTCACCCTATCGGCTTCTCCTGTCACGAAGCCCATCATAACGGCTTCTGGTGTGATCCCTCTTCTTGTGGAAGTTCTAAAGAATGGGAGCCCTTCACAATCTAAGGCTGATGCTGTAATGGCTCTTTACAACCTCTCATCCTATGAAGGCAATATAATCCCAATTCTCCAGACGGACCCCATCCCTTCCATTGTCAGCCTGCTCAAATCCTGCAAAAGATCTTCTAAAACAGCAGAAAAATGCACAGCCCTGATAGAATCTTTAGTCGGTTACGAGGAGGGTCGGACCGCACTGACATCCGAAGAAGGCGGGGTACTGACTGTAGTGGAAGTTCTCGAGAGTGGGTCCCGTCAGAGCCGAGAACATGCTCTCGGGGCCCTTTTGAAGATGTGTGAGAGCGACAGGTGTAAATACAGGGAACCCATTCTCAGAGAAGGCGTGATCCCCGGGCTTCTGGAGCTCACTGTTCAAGGAACCCCAAAGTCCCAAGCAAAGGCACAAACTTTGTTGAGATTACTGAGAGAGTGTCCTTTCCCAAGGTCTGAGCTTAAAGCCGACACCCTAGAGAACATCGTTAGTAACCTTATATCCCAAATGGGAGGGGAGGAGAACCCCGGCAAGGCGAAGGAGATGCTAGCTGAAATGGTGCAAGTCAGTATGGAGCAAAGCTTGAGACATCTGCAGCAAAGGGCATCTCTGGTTTGCACACCGGGAGGCGATCTCTCTGTCACTACCAGACGCGCCTCGAAAGTTCCTTCAAAATGACCATTTTCTGGACATAGTTATTCCTCTCTTTTGGGATGGGGGTTGTCTTCCATCCTGTAATTGAGACACCAGTATTCTGTGTACTGCTTTTACTAGGGAATAAGGTGTCTATATAGCAAAGATGCCAGTCCAGACCCTTTCATATGGGTTATCTGGTGACTGGTGTATGTAGATAATCAAATTTGAAAGGAAGGAAATCCCAGTGTTTGGAACAGAGCTTTCTTTTTAATACATACATGGCTTCTGTAATATACTGTGGTTTAATAAAGATTAATACTAAATGATCTCTTATTCTCTGTGAACTGCAATTTTTTTTATCTATCCCATAATATTTACTCTCTCCGTCATAAAATAAATTAAAAATATCTGGTTTGACTTTCATGGAGTATAACTGTATAAGAAAAAGTAAAATTATGAATAAAAGGTTTGAGCTTCAAAGGAATAAAAAGTCAATGAATTTGAAGGCAACACAATTCTAGTACAGTTTACTACTTTATTTTATCAAATGACTATTGAAAAAAGATAAATAAAGCAAATGAAGCTTGACCATGTGCATAGTAAACAAACATTTTAATTTAGGATGGAGGGAGTATACAAAATACGTTTACAATTCATAGGCCATTGTGCTCAAAATAAATAAATAATAGGGTATTACAATTATTAAAAGTTAAATATAGGATACATCACCAAGATCATAATGGCCAATTAAATTTGAATGTGTTGGGTATGACCTTTAATTATCGTTAAATCATGTGTTGTAGTTAAAGCTGGATGTGGCTAGATGTGGTGTCAGTAGACCTGGTAATCAGCTATATCAGTTCGGTTTTGATTTGGACCTTTTCTGTTTGGGTCTTTTTCAATTTTACGTTATAATCGGTTCGGGTGGTTTGAGTCAGTTTGATTTTAGGTTAAATTTGGTTTAATTTTTTTCGGTTCCGGTTTGGGTTTATATCGATTTGGGATTTAATTTATACCGGATTAGGTTTATACCGGTTTGGATTTATATACCGATTTCAGATAAGATCATTTGGTATTAGCATTCCTAATGTTAGCCTTTGTGGAGCCTCTCCTCCCTATGTGTAAAGAGAGCATATATATACAAGTGTCAGCAATAATGAGCTCGTATGTCCATTAATGTGTTACGATGTCCATATAAATCATATAAAGTCTTTATAAAAATAGAGAACAACCATAATTTAAGTGATAAAATACAGAGTAAAAAATTTATACATTAAATCAGTTGTACTTATAATTCAAATGTATTTTTTCTTAGAAAGACATCAACCAATGAGCTATTAAGTTTGACTGTATTTGAATTTAATTTGTTTTGAACTTGATCAATATTATGTCTAATCGTTTTTGGGTCTAATCAGTTCGGGTCTAACAATTTCGGTATTCAGATCATACATTCGATTCAGTTCGAATCATTTCGAGTATTCAGGTTTAACTCGATTATTTAGTTTTCGGATTATTTTAAATTCGGTTTAAAGTTATTTTGGTTCGAGTCTGTTTTGCCAGGTTTAGGTGTCACGTTGGTGTCAGGTAAATTAGCAGATGTGAGTAAAATACACAAAGTACTCCCTATGGTGTTATGAAGCGTGATAAAAATAGATGTAAATTACTCCGTATTTCGAATGGATTGAAATTTAAAAATTAAAAAAATTAAAAAGAAATGCAATCTCACCCGGCGACAACGAGTGAGTTTGGGGGAGGTGGGCCAAAGTGCCAAACCCTTCCTCATGGGCCATGGCCCATAACGCGGACATACTCATTTTTTCATTTTTTAGTTCTTCGCGTCAGACTAATGCACACGTGTCAATAATATGGGGATAGCGGACACGTGTATGATGAAAACGGCATTTCCTTTAAAATAGCAGTACACGTGGCGGGCGCTAAGTTGGTAACGCACGCACCATGCCGCCGCCTTCATCTCCCCCATACTTGAGCGCGAAATTGACGTGGCCGGCGGGCGGTAAATTACGGGAATAAGCCATTCGAAAGCATAAGCACTCCCTATATATATAAAGGATTGCTCCGAAGTTTTAAAGTATAATTCATTATCAGAGTTGAAGCTTCTTTAATAAGTGAAAAAGAAATATAATACTACATACTCCGTATAAAATAAAGGGAAAATATTGTTATTTATATTTTACACATGAGGATTCCGATACGTGTTCAATACGACGGCAGCGCGGGGAGGAGCAACCCGTGCAGGTGCAAGGTGGTAGGGCCGACGCTGGGGCTCTTGGCCTGTGCGGCGGCGGGGCTGGTGGAGTGGCCTGTGGGGGCCATAGTGTACCCCTTCCGCCGCACAAAGGGCCGCCGCATCATGGCTCACCCCGCCACCGTCGTCTATCCCACCGTCTCGAACTCCATCCCCATCTGATCATCACATCATACATACATATATCCCCATCTGACTCCATTTCCTATGTCTTTCAATTCTGTCTTTTCTTTTTTTGTTAATTTGAGTGGTCTTCAATCATGTCTATCTTATATTCTTCTTTATCTTTGTTTGGATCTGCGCTTCTTGTTTTCGTGAATGGATGTAATTTTAATTTGCTTATTTATTACCATCTGTCTCTCAAAAAAGTGATGATTCTTACTCTTGAACTCTTATACTCCCTCCGCCCACAAATAAATTTCTCGTTCACTATCTACAAGGTTTTCGTCATCTATTTGATAAAATAATAGTCATGTCACCTCTAATTTTGTAGATCTTTTGATATAGTTTTTTAATATATCATTTTTATTTTTAAATTTTACACCCTTTTTTATATAAAATGATTTGAAAATAACTTCAGTCAAACATCGTAACGCGCAACGAGAAGTTTATTTGTGGGCGGAGGGAGTAATATAAAGAACATTTCCTAACTTACAATCACAAGTTTGAACTTTTAGGTAAATTGGTTTCTTAACATGGTATCAAAGTCTTCTTAATTAAGAGGTCACTGGTCTGAAACTCAGAGTCACCAACTTTTAAAAAATTTAAGATTTCACGTGCAAGTAAAAAACTTAAAAAAAAACTAAGCTTGTACGCGAGGAGGTTTGTTTTCCCTGATCCACAAACTTGAAATTTTGGTTGAATTAGTTCTTTGACGGTAATCAAATCACATCATATTATGCAGTTGGGTTGATTAGTTATTCTTCTTAATCTTTGTTTGGATTTGCACTTCTTTCTTTGATGGCTGTAATTTTGCTACTCTGTAAAACAGTAATAATTCAATCTACCAAAGATTACCTGACCTTTGTTTAGGAGACAAATCAGACAATAAAAACATTTCATCTGGGAATGTGCTAAATTAAGAACATTTGAGACGAACAAGTTGGGGATCCATGGAAATACATGTACATGGAATAAAACCAACATTTTCACACCATAGCTGGAAAATCAAAATGTCCTTTCTCAAGATGTGATCAATAACATCCAATTATTCATTATCAACTCTATGAACATTATAGTTGTAAATCACAATTGGGTATTGCTCTAATCACAGTGTACAAAACTCAGAAGGCGAAGCTGCAGAACCGGCCTTCCCCTTGTCCTCCAAGCCGCCTCCCTCGCCTCCTCCTCCCGAGTGCTGCAAATTCTGCAAGACGTGATGGGGAAACGCTCCCAACCCATCATTTGCAACTCCGAAGAACTGACATACGAGCCGAGTCATGGCCCCGAGAATCTGCATTTGATTCTGGAGAGCATCGGCGTGCATCTGCACCATCTGCTTCTCGTGCTCCATCTGCATCCGAATCAAACGCTCCCTCCACTCCATTTCTTCCTCCTCGCGCTTCTCTTCTGCCTTCGTCCTCCTCTCCCTCTCCTCTTCAAGTTCCCTCTCGAGTCTCAATCTTTTCTCCATTTCCTTCCTTGCCCACACCATCTGGTCCTCCAACAATCTCAGTTCTTTCATCTCGACATCGGTCGTCTTCTCCTCGACAAGCGCTTCCATTTGGAACTCTTTCTCCCTCCTTTTATCCTCCCTCTCCATCATCTCTTCCTCCTTGCTCCAATCTCTTTCTCTCCTCTTCACCTCCCTCTGCAACAACGCATCCCTCAAACCCAATACCTGAGTGCCCACAATTCTTAACCTCTTTTGTGATCTCCCGGTCCTATGTTTCTTCTCCCGGCCAAAACCAGAATCGCCAACCATCTCTCTCCCCCTCCCATCACCATCACCCATATCTGCCTGGTCTTCTTCTTCTTCGTCTCCATCTTCGGATTCTTCGCTATCAGTCCCGAACCCAACCCTTCCCCCTCCTTCGTCCCCGAATTTCACACTGCCCTCGAAGCCGCAACCCTTGATCTCCAGATCTACATCCCCAAAAACTTCCTTGTACTTGAAGAAATTCTCCCAGTGGTTCGCACCGTCCTCCCAATTGAAGCTGTTGTCCGGGTTCCGGATCTTCTGCTTCACGCCCAGGTACTGGTGCCGCATGTTCTGGACCTTGATCGAGACGTCGCGCCAGGACCACTTGAAGGGGAAGAGAAGCGGGTCGCGGAGATGGTGCGCCGAGTTCACGTGGTCGGCGATGGGCTTGAATTTCTTCTCCCTCGTCTTCAGCTTGAAGAGAGCTCCGGAGTTCAGAAGCTCGGAGTATTTGTTCAGAAGGGTTTTCTCCTCCGCCTCCGACCACTTCTTCCGCTTCATTTTCAGAGAGTCTGGTTTAGGGTTCGGATTGTCGGAGACGAATCTGGATCCTCCGGAATCTACGCCATTGATATTGCTTGATTTGGGGGCAGCGGGTCGGAAATCGGAGTGTATTCAATGTGAATTTTCTAAGGCTCCATTTGGTTAGGGGTGTATATGAATCGAATCGAAGCAAATATATCACTATTCGATTCGCATTCGATTAAAGTGATATGTATTCGAATTCGTATATAATTCGAATTTTAAAAAACATTCGTATTCGATTCGATAGATATTTGACGTATTTGAATTCGTATTCGAATATTCGAATTCGAAAATATTAGTAATTTTTTTTCTTAAAACAAATTTCTTAAAGACATTAAATTATTATTTTATAATAATGTAAAATGTAGTAAAAATATGTTAGAATATAAATAAATTTATTTATAAATTATAATATTCGAATATATATAAATTTATATGTACACAAAAATTTAATATATTAAAATATGTTAACATATGTACACAAATATTTAATATATTAGAATATATAAAAATTTATTTATAAATTATAATATTCGAATAATTTGAATAATAAACGAATCGAATCTATTAATATTTGTATTCGAATTCGAAAATAATTCGAATCTAAAATATGATTTGTATTCGGATTCGAATTCGAATATAACGAATACGAAACATCCTTTTCGAATACGAATCACGAATCGAATACATTTTATTTGATTTGTATGCACCCCTACGTTTGGTATACGAAATTCAAACTATGGAATTGGAATTGAGGACTTCAATTCCAATTCTGGTGTTTGGTAGCACAAAAATTATGTGGATTTGAAATTAATAGTGCAAAAAATGAATTAGAATTGACAGAATTTAATTCTATGGAATTGAATGTGGAATTACAATTCAAATTCAATTCCAAATCCATCAATTCCGTGTACCAAACGGACCTAAAAGTAATTTAATTAGGGACAGATTACTTTGAAAATACTAACGCTAAACACTACTTGTAGATAATATTTTTCAAAATGCTAACACTAATCTTTAAAATTATTCCAAACAGGCCCTAAGCTATCTCTAAGGCCGCAAGAGCGATAATTTAACACGTCTCTTTTTCAGTCAATTACTAAGTCTAATAATTCACATATTCACACATTCACACACAGCATATCGCACATTTAATCAGTTTGCATCACATCTCTTTGCACCCCCATCAAGTCCCAATCATGCTCGCCACTACACATGAGCTGAGCTTAGTGTATTACTATTTATTTTATTTGTTCGAAGGATTATGCTATGTGTACATCAAGATTTGTACCCCACAGTTTTGCACCAACATTTTGTGTTGGTGTAAAACTAATTTTTGTTAAACGCACCAACATTTGTGTCCGTGTGAATTTTTATTAACGCACCAACACTTGTGTCGGTGTAAACCATCGAAATGTTTGTGCAAAACTGTTGTGTACAAATGTGGTATATTTGTTGGTGTAAGTGTAGCATCGTCCTTGTTCGAATCTCGCCTTTCCAAACTTTTGAAAGAAATTTAAAATACTCCATGTGTCTCACATTAACTACTAGAGATTGAACATATGGATCTTTACCTAACGGGATGTCATATTCATATATGTTGGGATGTACGTGTACAATATAGCATACGATGTCAACTCGAGAAATGTCATAGTGCCTTTCTTAGCTGTATATGTAAAAGCTCAATGCAAAATCGAACACTCCTGGGGGGATCCAAATGTATGTTCAGATAAGAAGGCTGGCTGCTATGGAATTAGCGAGGCTGAGCACTTCAAAGGGAGGTTTGTTCATCACGTCAACCACCGTCTTTGGACAGGAGTCTGTGATCCAAAAATACGCCATTCCATCCTCGGGATTCCCTGCACAGATAAACCAGCACATTATATTGAAGTAAAAAAAAAGCCAATTCCATGGAATTTCAATGTTAATAGTAGTATCATATTCACATGCATCCCATAAAGGCCACACTGGAGATATCCTTTTGAACTTAATATATTTTTATGGGAATGAGATGTGCTCCAAAGAGGCATGGGCTACCTCCTTTGTCGTGTTTAAAACGTTCCCACGACTTCTTGGGAAAAATCCCATGCGTCACGTAGGCACTGACTTTCGCTGCTCCATGTGCTGCCAAAACTTTCTGCAAATTCGTGCATCCCCGAAATTTAGATCATCTTTGAGAAAACTAAAAGCAGCAAAAAAACTCCTAATAATAATAGTGATGTAAGAATTGCATATAAGGTGGGGAAGGTTGAATGGTTTACTTGGCATTCTATTAAAGTGCCACCTGATTGGACCAGATCATCGACTATAACGACATGCTTTCCTACGGGATCCCCCTCCTTAATACGGACGATGCGTTTCTCACCTTCTCGGACTTTCGCGCAAACAATCTGAAAGAATATAACGGATAGCTCACGCAACAACAAGGACAATTAAAAGCAAGAATGTTGTTCTTTGTTGATGAGACACGAAAAAGACTTCATTTTACTGTGGGATAAACTATGAGCTTTGTACATGTAGAGAGAACCAGATCTAACAGGTGTGACAGGAAAATTGACCTACTGTTGGAAAATGCTGTAGCTGCTTGTGAAATCGTTTCCACGCACCATCATCAGGAAAGGCAATGGAGATCTGAGCACAAAAAGTTAACATAGTTCGTCAAAAGAAATCCCATCTTGAGAAGCCAAGACGTCAAATAATCCAATGAAAATGGCAGTTTCTCACATTGTCGGAGTCAGGGAGCTGCTGCAATCTATTTTTAAGCAGGGGTATCCCACTCTCAAAACACGGCAAGATGTTGTCGCCAAAGTAGAACCTCTCCTGAACAAAAGCCAGAGATTCAAATTAGATAAGGGGCAGCAGATGGACACGAATATCATATGAATGCACATTCAATGGAGCATGTTCACAAACCTGCAAGGCATGGATGTCAAAGGTAACTAAACTTGTGGGTCCTCCCCTCGAGATTGGAACATTAGACAATATCCTAGCAAGAGTAAACGCTGTAGCTACATCCCCCTCATCTTCCATGCGCTCCGAAGTGCCGGTGGGGAAAAAGGGGAGCACGAGGGTGAATGAAGACACAAACAACTTTGGCAAGGCATAGATGATTGAGAGCTGCTCAAATATCACCCCTGGTGAGCTAAATGATGCAAGGAAAGCGACGTGTTGCCCCCGGATCCCCTGTGCATTTGGGATGAACAAGTTGGGGAATCCATCATCAAATGTCCTGTAAGGTGTCATACATGATAATCCATCACTGACCCAGGACATTTATATTATCAAAAGTACTTTTTTCACACAGTAACCAGCAAATCAATATGTTTCTGAAGATATAGTCAGAAATTTATGAAGGCAAGTCCGGGAAGATTGGCAATTGGCAACCTTAACTCAAGATATCTTGAGAAAGGATATTAATTTACCGGAAAATGTCTAAAAATTGACATCACAGGAAATGCATCAGTCACTTCAGAACATAATATAAAAGTACCTAGTACCATTTAAGTTTTTCTGATGCCAGCGAGCCAAATCGATATAGTTTCTTAAGAAATGATCTTAAAAACATGAAAGCTATAGCAATGATGATTGGTGATTGGAAGTGGATTTAGTAGATTTTAACAAATTCGTCTAAAAATTGCGTTTTTTCCACAAAGCAACAGCTGTAATTGAATAATTTTCCCTCCCTATCACACAATGCCATTAGAATTGCCGACGGAAAAAACTGAAATAGGGTCAGAAAATACCTCCAGTGGATGCCGCAGGGCTCAATGTAGTCCGACTGAGCCGCAACACTCTCGGCTAGAGGTTTGGTCTCGGGGCAGTAGAAGAGGCATACCTTCTTGGGGCTCTCCCCGGATGAATCGAGGAAGGAGGAGCTCGCCGCCATGGGGAGGAAAGCGGTTGCCGGAGGGCCGTGGATGGGATCGGCGGTAGTTATCCCTTTGGGAGATGATGATGAGTGGTGGTCGAAGCTCCTGAGCTCGGACTTGCATGCGAGACGGAGGCGGAGGCGATGGAAGGAGGAGTAGAGGAGGAGGTTAGAAGAGGATGTGACAGAAGAGAAGAAGGACGGAATTCTCGGGAAGGAAGAGGACGGATGCGGATGGGGCGCCGCCGCCATGCGAGAATCTGTTGCGAGCTGGGCGGCTCAGCTCTACGCCTCTACATATTTTTTTGTTTGGGGAGAGTGTTTTGCACTTTGGTTATATGTTTGGAAAAAGTATTAAAGATAAAATTTTAACGGTACATGTTATTTTAAAAATACTAATGCTAAACATTGTTCTTAGATAGCATTTTCAAAATATTAACGCTATTCTCAAATAGGTCCGACATCTGTTATGGCGGGTTTGATGGAGATTTGACGAAGTATATAAAGATATGACATGAAGTGATAAAAATATTTGTGTTGTTGGGCTTGAAAAAGGGTTGTGTCTAAAAGGTGATGGGGTGAAATTTTGAATTATTTGAATGAGTAGAAATTTAAAAAAAGTAGGGGGTAATGGTAGGACGACCCTCACACAGGAAGGGGCCACGCCCAAACCTTTGGAAGTCGTCGAGGTGAATGGGGCATGAAGTAGGAGGTCAAGCCCTCCTCACGCTATCATAAGACATGGTCTAAAGCCTACTCTCTTTGACAGTCTTTTCAAATGCCAAATAGCACCAGTACCCTCGTAGTTTAGAAAATATGCATATATACCCCATGTTTTCTAAACTCATTTCCAAAGTCCCCGTAGTTTCAAAATGTTACACTCGTGTCCTCTTTGATCATTTTCTAGCCACTTTTTCCGCGAAAATGAGACATTAGTGCCTATTTTCTAAATCATATAAGGCACTGATGCTTATTTTTTATTTTTTCCCTTTTTTCTTTTATTTGTTTCTTTTATTAATCAATGTTTCTGAAATTGCTTTTTAAATATAATGTTCTTAAAATTTACAATTATTCTTGTTTGAAAAAAATAATTAACATATACAGTATCTGTACGTTTCAAATTAATGATTTTTTTATTTTCCAAAATAAAAATGTAAAAACTTTTTTCAGAATTTTAAAAAATGAGGAATAAAATAAGACATAAAAAAATAAAAAATAAATATCCTTTTTGGACATCCAAATTCTAAGGACCGTTTTAGGCGTTCTGAAAATTTCTTTTGTATAAGACTCTTTTTGTATGTTCCAATTTTTTTATTTTGTTTTTCCATATTTTTATTCTTGTTTTTTAATTCTGTATTTACTTTTTGAACTTACCAAAAAAATTATTCTTGCAATCACACGGTGAAAATGATTAATTTGAGATAGATAGAGTATATGTTTTTTTTCTATTTCAAACACAAAGAATTTGATTTTTTAAAACATTATAAAAATTGAAAAATTTTTAAAAACTGTTTTAGGAAAAGAAAACAAAGAGATAAAAAAGAGTTAAAAAAGGAGGGAAAAAAATCAAATAATAAACAAAAGAATAAGAAATGAGCACAATGCCGCTCTTCGCTGAAAATGACTGAAAAATTATTAAAGAAGGTGTGGGTGCAATATTTTAACATCACGAGGATTTTACAAATAAGTTTGAAAGCAGAGGAGATATTGGTTCCAATTTTCCAAACCACATAGGGCATTGGTGCTATTTGGCCTTTTTTCAAAAAACACAACTTGACAAATTCTATGGTGGACCTAAGGTTCACAATTGATCAACACATATGTGAGAAGGTCAATAAAATTAATATACAACCAAGGTGCATCAAAGAAGCATATATTCCACGAACGTTACTCATATATTGTCTTTCTTAGAGATGGTAATTCTATTCGAATCTGACTTTTACCGACCCGATCGGAGCTTATAATATCCGAATCCGAACCAAAAAATAAATATCCGAAATTGACCCAAAAAAAATTAAACCCTACCTGACTTTTGTCGGCCTGGGCTTAAGTTAATATATTTGACCGACCCGACCTATACCCGAACCGACCCGACATGTACCCGACTTTCAATAAGTTTTAAAAAACTCTAAATTCCTATATTCCATGTTTTTTATGCACATATTTTTAATGTTTTAAAAATTATTGCATTTTTAATGTTTCATTTTTATTGTGGTTTAATTTTTTGTGTCACACATGTGTTATTTTCTTTGTACTCCATATATTATTAGTTGAAACTTACTATTGTTTGTTCTGCACGCGCGGGAAGAGGAAGCGGTTTTGGATTTCTGGCCTGATGTCGCCCCTGACGGGATCGGACGGCTACTGTTCGATCTCTCTAGTTTCATCGACGGCCATTCCTACCCCGAAAAGACGTTGGCCCAAAATGCCTTCGTCCACTCATATTTCGCCTTCCTAGACCAGAAATATTTCTACGCATTAATTATTCTAAAAAACTTACCATATTTTATACTTACGCACTAAACACACAATTTTAAATACTAGCCCATCAATACATTATAAGATGGGTTTGGCTCAGATATGTACAAGGCCCAAGTTAGGGTCCATATCTTGAATAGCATCCGACTTAGATATAGTAAAGTAAATAGGCCGATAAGAGAGAGGATCTGGTCCAACTAAAGGAATGGACCAGGGAGAGAGCTAAGATGGGACCTGGGGAGTTGGGCTGAAGCTCTAGCCCATTGAGATCTGGTCTCTAAGGAAAGAGATGACCCACTCCTAATGATTTAGGGTATGCCATCCCTTAGGGGGGATAGGCGAGATATTCCTTCCCGTTATTAGAGACAGAGTTGATACGGAATATTGGTCGGATAGACTGCTTTGTTCATAAGCGAGTGACCTTGAGATGAGAGAGGTTGGGAAAGGGAAGGATCGCCTGAATATTTCCCCAAGCACCGTGGATATCTTGATAAGATGGTGGTTGGGGGAACCTCTATAAAAGAGAGAAGAATTCAGCCGTTAAAGGCAACTTATAAACGAGAAAGAAAGAAATATTTGAGTACTAAAAGAAAATATTCCGATGATTCTGTAGAATATTCTGATCCATAGTTTGACGGATTAAAGGAAGGGACTCGAGTTTGAGTTATTCCACTGTGTATTGTATATTTTTACACGATCCATTACTTTTTTCTACTACTCTTTCAATGTTACATGGCCCGGATACTAATATTTGGATTTTAGATCGCTGAATAGTCCGAGGAGAAGATATTAGAGATCCATCACCCTTATTTTTAATTCCTAATTTAAATAATTATTACAGAATTTTCCTCTATTTTTTTAAAAGAAATTTAGTATTGTGTAGGTTCCGAAATTTAGGTTAGTAAATTAGATGAGATATTAACTTAATGAATTTCTTTTTTATTGAATTCTGAATTTATATTTAGAATACCATAAAAATCGTGTGTTTAATGAAAGGAAACTGACCATTTAAACAAGCGTGTGTTTTAAATATCGTCTATACTAAATTGAAACTAACCATTTAGCATTGAGTATGTGCATTTAATGGGTTAATATACCGTGTATATTCATTATGAACCGTATAGATCATGTAATATACTCAAAGATCTGCTGCTCGCAATTGATTGCATTTGGGCAGGAGTTACTTTTAATTTAGTTATAATTATATATAAAATTATTACTAATATAAATATATAATAGGGTAGCTTTTTAATTCCTAGTATCTCCCATCACCCGGGTAACCACGTTCCTGAAGAGATCAGTCCTCAGAGAATGCCACGTTCCGTCACACACCGAATCTTGAAAACCCATTATTTGACCTAATCAGCCTACCGTACGGAGTATTACAACAATTTCCTACAGAGGAGTCTTAATTCATCGGATAGAGTCATGATACATGTTTGATTCTTTGATCTCTGCTCAAATCCAGTCAAATCGCATTTCATTCCGAAGCTTTTCAAATTTCAGGTGATCTTTTAGTTTGCTTTTACAGCATTTCCCCCCCGTGATTTAGCTACAGTTGTGCTCTAATTCGGATTGGATTCACTGAGATATGCAGAATTAAGAGCCTGAAGCCGCCTGCAATGGCTCTTCCGCCCCTTCTTTCCTTAGCCATCCCATCGGAAACCGGCCGCGTGCTAAGCATTCAGTCGCACACGGTTCAGGTACTCCTTGTCTATTGCGTATTTTAATTTTAATTTTCAGGTATAAGTAATTGCACACGGATGGCCACTGAATTTTTATTTTTTATTTTGTTGCAAAACAGCTTTCATTCCCTCCGTCCCAGTTTATGTTGCTCAATTTGATTAGGTGGAGAGATTGAAGAAGTGAAATTGTGTAGTTGATATGTATGTAGGATAGAGAGAAACAATATAAGCCGCGTAATGTTTTTTTAGAAATGTAAACAGACAAGATAAATTGGGACGTACCAGAAAGGAAACCAGGCAAAAAGACCATGTAGTCTTGTAAGAAACGTATACAGACAAGATCAACTGGGATGTTTTTTTTTTGAAAAAGATAAACTGGGATGTACCACAAAGGAAACCAAACAAATTGGGATAGAGGGGGTAATATGATGTTGTATGATTGTATCTATTGTACTTATATGTAATTGTCACACTGTATATGTGATCTTGTTGGCCAAGGAAGAAATATTTTGTAAATATGACTTTGCCACCAAGTCTTATGATTCTCTGTTTAGGGGTACGTGGGAAACAAATCGGCGGTGTTTCCTCTTCAATTGCTGGGCTATGATGTGGACCCCATCAATTCCGTACAGTTTTCAAACCACACAGGCAAAGAACTTACATAAATTTTAGCTTGATGTCTGAAATATGTTGTGACCCAATTTGAAAATTTATGCAGTTTGGGTGTGAAATACTCCGTATATGTTAGACTAACTGGTATTACTGTCAATTTGAAAATATTTCAGGATACCCAACTTTTAAGGGCCAGGTTTTGAATGGAGATCAACTGTGGGACATAATTGAAGGTCTTGAAGCTAACAATTTATTATACTATACCCATTTATTAACAGGTATGCTTATTCAGTGTAACCTTATATTGCTCGTAGAAGTGCATTGCTCACCCAAATTGCTTTGACAACTACCTATTCTTTCCGTTGTAAAGAGTACATGTTTTCTCAACCATATTCCACACTGCTATTGAAGATGCTAATATCCAGTGCAGATAAACACTTGCAGTAATTTGCTTTATACTCTAAGGTGTAAATATAGAATTACTTCAATTCACGTGAGTTACGTGTAGATTCTGTAAAGACTACTTAAGAGCAATAATGTGGTTATATTAGGAAATATGTGTGGAAGAGGTAAATAAAAAGTTTATCTAGTCCTTTTCTTCACACCCTTCCCCAAACCCTAGTTTCGTGGGATTACACTGGGTTGTTCCTTTTTTTATTAGTCCACTATCTAAATCACACATCTTTAAAAAGTTGAGTAAATTTTTTAAATCAATCTTATCTTAACATCTAATCTTGCCAAATCTATCCTTATTTATGAGCTCACCATATTAATACAATGCCTTTTAAATTATCTTTCATGTTTCCAATGTGTTCCATCCCCAAACTCTACTCCTGTGGGATTCAACTAGGTTGTTGTTGTTGTTGTTGTTTTCAATGGGTTTCATATTTAATGTTGAAGGTTAAAATAGAAAAAATGTAATGAATATTGTGTATGTTTGGTATAAATTTCCTAAACAACAATCCAATAGAATTCCACGAGAGTAGGGTCTGGGTAGGGTGTGTGCACAAACCTTACCCCTACACACAAAGTAGAGAGGCTATTTCCAAAAGAAACCCCCAGCTCGAGAAAACACGTTAAGCACATAAAGCAAAGAGCACGAAAAAATAAGCCCATAGCAAGTAAAGGCGAAAGAAAGATACACACACTGAAAGAAAAACACCGAGAAACAGAAAGCATCCCACAAAGAAGCATGCAATAACAAGTGCAGAAAATTACCTCCAGGTCCCAAAGCCTACCCAAGTATCCTAAATGGACAGATAAAAAGGTTGATTAAAAATCTAAAAAAAGTGCACTGATAAATAGAAATACGACTGGATCACTGGACATAGTATAAAGGCTGATAGGAGTGATAGCTAAGGGGAACAGTGGTTTTTGTGCTCGTTAAGACATGATGGTTACATTTGCATCACCATAGCCTGCCCAATAGATTGGAAGTGAACTTAACTCAAGAAAACTGCTTTTATGTCTATATATTCGTTTCATGAATATATATATTCTTGAACCTCCAAGTTAGCTGTTTTATATAATCTGCCTTTGGAATACTATTGCTTACATCAGCTGCTAATTTCGAGAAAGTGGTGTTGTAGGCTATATTGGTTCTGTTTCCTTCTTGGAGAAGGTTTTACAAGTTGTTGATAAGCTTCGGGCAATTAACCCTGAACTTGTATACGGTAAATGCTCTACATTATCCTGCCATGCATGCCATTGGGTATCCAGAGTATTTTTTTCAAAGGGGGCACAATAACTTAATATATATAGTTAAATAAAATGTATCTCTAAAATGCCAAAAACAGTTACAAACTTAAAACTAAGGCTAAAAATTAATGGGGCTTGTGTGCATAACTTTATGTCACTTTGAGTGAAGATTGTTGTGATTATGGTGTTCCTAGTTGTTGCTTGATGGTTTGTGTGCTTCTAATTAATTTAGAGAGGACTTTTGGTTGTACACTTTTTGTACCCACTGATGTTGGTGATTAGTGGGAGGAATTAGTACTGTGTTTACAATCCTGTGGTTTTCGTCGATTTGTGGTTTACATGTACGTATTGGTGTTAGTTTCTCATTTGATAGATATTATTTTTCCGCTTTCGTCATTCTTGATTGGTCATATGATTTTGCCTATTTTGGCAACAGAAAGAATGGAAAAGCTATTAATTGCTTCACCTGGGAATTAAGATGCTATTCAACTATCGGGTGCGGGGAGTTTCCCCCATGCCTCTATTCAAATCTGCAACAACTTGCATAGTATGGTACAATACATGTAGCAAAATTTTTTGCATTTCTAATTTTTTTCCCTGTGTGGAAGAAGGATTAATATTCTTCAGAGTTACAAGTACTGATAGCCATGACTATACAATGCATCAATAACATTAATCCTAGATTCAATATGTATGTTGTTCTCTGTTTTATTTATAATCGGGCTTCTTTTGTCAGTATGTGACCCTGTGATGGGTGATGATGGGAAGCTATATATTCCTCTGGAATTAGTGTCAGTGTATCGCAAGAAGGTAGAGGTTATCTTGTTTTTATCAGGCTGATGTTTTTTTATATATAATTATAACTCAGTTGTCCCCTCTTTTTACGTGCCTACTTTGAGTGAGCACAAAGGTTAATAATGTGAAAACTATAGTTGAAATTTATGCAGATGAGAGAGAAACGATATGAACCATATAATGATTTCTCTATGTTCTCCTTGAAAAGGTTGTCCCTGTTGCTTCAATGTTGACTCCAAATCAGTTTGAAGCTGAACTGTTGGCTGGTTTGAGGTAATCATTGCATATTTGCATGAGACTTCATTTCAATCTTTTGATGAAATCGTGCTTTTGTTTCACCTTTAACTATTTTTATGCATGGACAGTATTTAAATCTATTGATTGGAGAATAGATCAATCGATTTATTTTTCATTTCAAGCTCCCTTAAGTTGTCTTTCGTGCAATTACTCTGTAAAATTTTGGTCCTACACCACTATTTACCTACTCTGAAATTGCTTTGTTTGATTTAGTATTACATCAGAACAAAAGGGGCAAGAAGCTTGTAACATTCTTCATGATGCTGGACCATCAAAGGTTTCGTTAAATACTCAATCAGATAATGAACTTTTCCTTGCTTGGTCATTTTCACTCTGAGCATGAATTGCCTCGCTTGCCTATAGACTTATGGTGAAAGTGTTATCTCTTTTCCAGTGTGACAATATTTTATTAGTGTGTGTTTAAGAGAGAAAATTATGGGCTTTGTTTTCAGGTTGTCATCACTAGCATCAACATAGATGGGAATCTTCTTCTCATTGGCAGCCACCAGAAAGCAAAGGTAAATAATGCGGCTATCTACATACTATGACAAGGACAATCATTTTATGGAGAATAAATATACTGTTTGTTAAAAGGGGTTCCAGTATTCCCAACATGACTCCCTTTTGTGACAACTGTAGTACTTTGTTTGGGATATATAGCATGCAAGCTGTATCCTCTATTTTCTTCTACTATGATTATTTTGGGACCATTCATTTAAAACTTTTGTGAAAGTCCCTTACGTGATGATGCTATTCAATGTGACAGGATCAACCCCCAGAACAATTCAGGATTATGATACCCAAAATTCCTGCATATTTCACGGTAATTATCTCATACGGGTGTTTATTATTTAAGAATATCATACTGTTGTCTGGAAAGAATTCTTAGGGGCTGTTTGTTTCAGCCTCTTAATGGTTCAGATGTCTGAATGGTTCAGCACTTAATGGTTCAGACTGTTTGTTTCAGCCTTTTAATGGTTCAGATGTCTGAATGGTTAAGAGATTTGCCTCTGAATGGTTAAGTATTATACAGAGTCTGAATGGTTAAGACCTCTTATCTGAATTGATCAGACATTTGCTTCTGAATAGTTAAGCAATATACTAGCTCTTAATGGTTCAGACCTCTTACTGGTTCAGCACTTAATGGTTGAGACCTCTTATTGGTTCAGCACTTACCGATTCAGAAGTTGTCAAACAGCCCCTTAATCTCTTCTTCTAAAAGAAAATGTCCCTAAACTCATATACACACTATGATTCCAGGGAACCGGAGACTTGATGACATCGCTGCTGCTTGGATGGAGCAATGTAATGAATTCCCAGAGTAAATTTTGAACCATGTTACTGAAAACAATATTTCCTCATAATTGTTGTTTTCTGTTCAGAGATATCCTGATGACCTTGACAAGGCAGCAGAACTCGCGGTGTCAAGCTTGCAGGTTTTATTTTCTTACAGTTAATTGCTTTATTTTACGCTAATTATACCTCCATTTCCTGAGATACTTAAACCTAGAAAATGGGTGGCTTATTTGTGCCTATTTTACAGGTAATAATAGTTATACACACAATTTTCTCTCCCCATATACTTATACATGCAATGATACAAATCCCCCAAATTTCAGAATATTACTACATATTTTTACCTTATGTAGTTAGTATCTAAATTTAGAGCAATGTATTAATTATCGATAGATATATTTAAGTATATCATTTCCCCCTTGATAAGAACTGCATACACCAATAAAAACAAGTTTTTCTTTGAGGGGACAATTCAATACTTTCACTAGATAGGAGTCATCTGTTCTATTTACTCTGCAATAATAATCTCTCCTGCAAATCAGGCTCTTCTTGCGAGGACATTGAGAGACTATCAAAGGGCTGGCTATGACTGCAAATCGAGCTCTTTGGAAATTCGACTGATACAGAGTCAAGGCAACATCTGCAACCCGGAAGTCAAATACAAGGCTGAGAGATACTCTGACTAATTTTTCATCCCCTTTGATTCAAAGCCTAGTCCACACATGTTGGCTTCTTTGGCTATATAGAAACAGAGACTGGTGCCCAACTTTGACAATCAATCCAAGAATATTTGATCACCTGAATTCTCTAACACACTGTTTGGTTCAAGCAATTCGTAAGGAATGTACTCTGCCCGAAAAATGTCACGTAAAAAGTGGAAGTGTAATTTTCATTATTTTTTGTGACGAAATTATGAGAGTAAACATCAAATTTCTTCCTTTGATTCCCCTTTCTCGTCCCTCATCTCGCCCTCCTCTTCTTACAATAATGTCTTGGAGTTTGTTTAGAACTATTTTCTTCATCAAATTTTCAACTAACCAAACTGTGCTAAGATTTTTTACTTTGATTTTTTTTACTCCCTAATTCCTTAGCATTCTTATTTCTTTCCTAATTGTTTGAACCAAATATAGTGTAAGGGTCAGTATGAACTATTTATGCCTCAAAGTCTGGTTGTGGAGATGAGAGTTACGTTTAATTTTAGCATAACGTATAAAATATGTCCTGGACATATGAATCCAACTCAGGTTAGAAAACGTTGTTGGTTTGGTATAAATTCAAGGGGCGGTTCTTATTACATTAGAATCTCATGTTATGGGATGATCTGGGGTTGCTATGGTGACCCGTTCTTAAAATTGACAGTTCCTACCCTTTCTACGGTGACCCGTTCGTAAGAAAGGGAACAATCATTAAAAGTTCTTATTTTTATTTGTTGGGTGAGAAAGTTAGGGTATTATGGGTGAGGTAAATAAGTCGGCGTCACCTTATTTCTTTTCTTAAAACAAAAAACAAATTTTTTAGTGCCAAAAAATAAAAAACAGATTAATACTCCGTACATTAGAATGATGTAAAAAAATGAAGTACCAGACAAATAAATTGTGAATAAATTATGTCATGACACGGAGTATGATTGTTAGTTGGGATTTGTTAGGGGTACCCTAATGTAATGTATTCCAGGTGTACACACCTTTTCACAGATACCCCTGAATGTCTCTTCATGAATTTTATGCAAATATGGATAGATGAGTGAAATGTGGTCATGTTTGACATTCAACTATTAGTTATTTGTCGCAACTATTGTATTTTTTAAAAAAAGTGCTTGACAAGATAAGTTCCTTGTTCCTTTAAAAAAAGATAAATTGTTTCTGAGTTATTCATCTCGTCTGATAATTAAATTTATACTTTTCTATCCGGGTTGTTTTTTTTTGCTATAGACAAATTACAACCACGTACCCTCAACTTTATTAAATTTTTTTACCCGTGTCTAATTTTTTGGCCTAGTTATTATTTAGAGTTTCAGATAACTTTTGTTTTAGTTTGCGTTTTCATTGATAATTTGCTAGTATAAATATGAGTTTTGTAAATTTTTTGTTATAATTTTCAAACATGTAACCTATATTTTTTTTATTTTATACCAATTTATAAATAAAATCATTTTAAAAAAAGATATGATTTTGCATGTTAAAGTAAAGACAAATAAAAACACTAGCCAACAATGCTATTTCGGTGCTACTCCATTTTTAAGCACATCCGATATTCCGTTTGTAAAATTAACGGTTTCTATACTACCATACCCACCCCTAAACCCCTACCTCCACCCCATCCTAACCCCTCGCCCAGTCCCCTAAGCTTACCTCTAAATGTACATCTATTATGCAATGTATAATCTTTATATATACAAAGCTAATGTGTAAAAGATGAACAGTGAAATTTCTCGCCTAAATGTTATGGGCTCGGGTTGGAAATGGTCTAGAGAAATGGGGGAACGGGCCGACATAACAGAATGATTTCCTTAAAATTTGTACTAATTTAACTATATTTTATATAAATTCAAATAATTAGATGTCGTGTTAATTTTATATTTAGTTATATTTGAATTTAAATTTATACATTAATTCTATTAAATTTGTATTCTTTATATTTTAGATAAATGATCGATCGTGCAGCCACGAGTACAAATCTAATATCAAAAATGCTAGGGGTACACCAAAAGTGTACTCCAAATGTACACCACTCCCTCCATTGCCACATATTTTGGCATGTAAAATAAAAAAGAAGTAAATAAATAAAAATGAGTGGTAATGAAGACGGTGGTTTACATGTGATATGTACCCCTATCATCCTTCGTAAGGATTCAAGTAGTGTGTTAGGAGAAGAACAATTAATTAATACTCCCTCCGTTCTAAAACTTTTTTCCCAAAACACTATTCCAACTTCACGGGAATTTATATTTATTTGTGTTTTTTCATGGCCTATATGATAAAATAAAATATTCTTGTCACCACTTGTTTTGTTGAACTTTTGATGTAGTTTTTAAATATGTATGTTTTATTTTTTATTTCTATACCAATATTTTATTATAGATTGAAAAAACTACTTAGTTTTAGAAAACCAGGGTGTGTAACTTTTTGAAGAAACAGAGCTTAGAAGGGAGGGAAGAAAACTAGAAGATGTGCGAAGTAGGAAGTGCTCCGTAATTGAGGAGGAGGATGGATCCAGAGGTGGCTTTAGAGTTGGCGAAGCGCGGTGGTACGCTGCTTTTCCTCGACGTTCCCCAGTACACGCTCATAGGCATCGATACTCAGGTAATAAGTTCCGAATAGCTAAAACCTAATTCTATGCCGAATGTCGCTTCGTGAATTTTGTTGTTGAGTTTTTTTTTTGCTCTGAATTTGCTGCCGTTTGTAGATGTTTTCTTCGGGACCTAATTTCAAGGGCATCAAAATGATTCCTCCCGGAGTTCATTTTGTCTTTTATAGCTCTGCTAACAGGTTTGCTTCTCTGAATTCCTCTGTTTAAAGTTTAAACTAGTTCTTCGATTTATTAACCCCTCGAAACCATTGCTTAGTTCATTCATCCCGTGGAATTCACTGCTATTCATTTGATTTTGCTTATTGTGCATGGCTAGGGCGAAAAACGAGGAAAAGAAAGTGAAATCTAGATGGATTACTTCATTTTGAGATTTCCCTAAAACTTTCCAACTGGAAAACTTGTCCGTTTATCTATGTGAAGTAGTGTATGAGGACCGTGAGATATCCAGTAGGTTGGTTGTTTGGTATGCAGAGCTAAATTTGGTTTAATAGTGGATGTGATATTGTGCAGCCACCTTCATTATCGTTTACCTTGCCATGAGATCTTTTTAAATTCCCCTACATATCATGCCACCTATCATTGTTCCCAATTAGTACTCTTTATTTTTCTTTTTGGGGTGCCTTAGGTGGGGATTGTTGTGGTAGAATTGAAGCCCAGTAAATGAGTGTAGCTCACTACACCCGAACTCTGTAGTGTATTGCATTTACTCATTTGTTTTATGCAACAGATCTTTACTCATTGGCCAATTGTTCTATTTCCTTATTTCCATTCCCTGAAGAACATTCAGATACACTAAAACAATTTATTCACATTGTTGTTTTTTTGCAGGGAAGGCAATGCATTCTCACCAATTATTGGTTTCTTCATTGTTTTGAAGCCATCAGAGGTCAGAATAATTATGGGTTTATTCCTATTCATGTCAGTCTTAGTATTTATAGCTCATAATAGAACTCTAAGCATCACCCTAAATAATCTTCTGTTTGGTCATCATTCTCATATGTTATAAACCTGTTTTTGTTTTCTCAACCAACACAATTTCTAGTTCTATTTTCTTCGTATCTATATATATATGTGTACAAGATTAACCAATTTCATTGTGTGATTAACCAACAAGATTTCAAGTTCTTTGTTCTTTGTATCTTATATTTATGTGTACTAGCCTAACCAATTTCATTGTGGGATAGCAGGTAGTTGTTAGGAAATGGGATAAAAAAGAGGAGCGGTTTGTCAAATTCTCCGAAGAAGATGTAAGGTCTTTTGGACTCTCAAAAGATTCATCCCCTCCTCCCTTATGCTTCATATGCATAATGATGCTATAATAGGATTATTGTAGGTAGCAGTTTGTTGAAATGAAAACCCTTGTGCTTGTCCAAAAGAAGAGCCCTTATTTTTACCTTTGTGTGCATCTTGACCCCTCAAATGGCAACGGAGTTGTGATTATACAAGGTTTGTTGGTGTGGCATCCACATAAATTTTTGGTAAGGAGGCCGAAATTACACTTTAATGGTAACACATATTGTTGTAAACGAATTGAGTCAAATCAAATATCCAAAGATTTGGTTTGATTTGATTATTGTAGAGGACATTCACAAGCATTTAATATTCATATCTCAATGTCAATTTTTCGTCCATTGCCCATGGAGCTAAAAGAGCCATTATTGAAAATGCTTTAGTTTGGGTACATGATGGACTGAATAAAAATGGCACATTAAACTTACCTTGATTCTTACTTTCAATGAAATTTTGGGCAGTAAATGCAGCAGTGCATCTAAAATGATAGTAAAATCTAATGAAAATAGCCTATTTGTCTTTACAGGGGTAAGACTGCACACATCTTGACCCACCAGATCCCAGTGAAAATGAGATTATACTGGATTGTCATTGTTTATGTCAATATCTATTCCGTCTATTCGTATTTATGTGGCTCACAACATCTCTTTCTTCTAAATAAAATTTAACTACACTATACTTTACAACACTTTTTAAAACTCCGTGAAGTCAAAGTGGAAAATATAGTTTAGGATGGAGAGAGTATTAAAAAATGAATGAATGCGAACATGATGTATCTCCACATTAATTTTTTTTAATTTGAACATGATGTATGCATCAAGAAAGTCATAATGAAAAGTTAAAAGAGAATGGAGCCAGTAGTCCCAGTACTCGTATAATTTTGAAAAGAATTATAATGCCATATTCATTGATATGTAACTGGAATTAGTTTAACAAATCTAAAATTACAGATAAAAGAGATGAAAAATTATACATGTATGGATAAAATCTTAAACAATTTGCAGTTTATGATGTGAAAAATGATTTTATCGTTTTAAACTAATAACTTGGGAAAAAACAAATAGAAAGTAGTCATTTAATTTGACGAAGAATTGTAATGTCGTGATTTCATTAAAATTTATTAAAGTTGAAGATATATGATTATAAATAAAAAATTCATTACTTTATATTTTGTATATGCATGGGTGCAATTGGGAACAACAACCAACTCAGTTTAATCCTAACTCCGTTGTGGTCTGGGGTTGGGGTGGTCAAGACTCAAGATTTATGCAACATTACTCTTTTAAAATTTGGAGAGGCTAATTCAATTAGACTCTTGTTGCATTGAAGTCAACAAATATCATAGAATGTAAGAAGGCACAAAACTCACAAAAGTTGAATGTGCCATTTTGATTTAATATAATATTTACATTAAGCTTATATATTGTTAAAGAATGAATCTATTATCTCTGTTGTCATTGGAAAACATGGGTGAAATTGGATATAATTCATAAATTATGTGTAAAATTAGTTTTTCAAAATTTTCAATTCAACTTCTTTGAAATTCCATAGGAAAAAACAAATAACTGGTGGATCAAACTGATAATGTCTCATAAGATAGCAAAGGAGTAGCCACTGCACCTGCTGTACCACTTAATACCTTAAGCTATACTGAATTTATATATAGAGTATATACATACTTTAAACATACATACACATATAAAAGTGTGTTTGTGAAGGATATGTAGGGTATTGGGGGAGGGGGAGTACCAGAGTACTAAACCCCCTGCACACCTCCCCCCTCCCGGAGCATCCATTGGGTGTATGAGAATATGTAGTTTTTCTTGTGTGTATCTGAAAGCTTTTTTATGCATGAGAAAAATTGCTTGCTCATCTTGTAAGTAGGTATGCAAAGTAAATCAGTGTCACCTAGCTATCGTTGTTGTTTTATACAGGAACAGAGATATGCGGAAGCTGTGAGGAAATTTGAGTTTGACACACAACTTGGCCCTTACATGTTAAATCAATATGTAGATTGGAGCCATTTGTCTAACTATATTACCGAATCTGTCATTGAACACATAGGTGAGTTGTTGCTTTTTTATGTATGCCCATCTTTTTGCTGCCTAATTTTGCTGGTTTTTGCTATTCTCAGAACCTATAGGGGGAGAAATTACAGTGTCATCTGAACCTGAAAGCATTAGCAACATTCCAAAGACACCCATGGAGAAAGCTTTAGCTGGGCAGCTGAAGAGTAGTAAATATGCAATCTCGGTTGAGAAATCTGAACGGAAAGGGTGTTACTTCACACCAATTCCCCGTCTTATAAAACACAAGGGATTGTCCGGGCATGAACTGACAAACATGAACCTTGACAAGGCATTTTTTGTCGTTTATTTTGTAATTACTTAATGTTGAAGACTGAACTTTTTTTTAATTTTATGTTCTGGAGATCATTTTTCTTGGATACTTTACGTGCAGACACAGGTATTAGAGACCATCCTTGCAAAGGAATATGATAGAAATGAAGATTCACTTTTGGGCGAATTGCAGTTTTCCTTTATTGCATTTCTGGTATGCTTAAAGCTGTGCATGCTCCTGCTTCATTGTTTGATATGATTTCACATGTGATTTGTGAGAAATAATTTTGAGCTATCTTGCAGATGGGACAGTCACTTGAAGCATATCTACAGTGGAAGCTTATTACCAGCCTTTTGCTTGGATGTATAGAAGCTGTTAGTACAAAAATAATTGCCAAATCTTACCTTTTGTGTTGTCAAACTGTGTCTGTGTGTTGAATACCACAGAACCATTTTACATTATAATTGTATTTAGTTTCATATCAGTTTAAAATTTGATGTGAATGTTATATGCCTTGCAGCCTCTTAACACACGGAGTCGTCTATTCACCAAGGTAACAACTAAGTCCATCTATATCGATTATTAAAAAAAGTACATCTATACCTTTAAGCATGCTGTATTTTTATCAGTGAGTTGCTTGATTTCGTTAAAATATTTAACGAGTTAGTAATTTGGGTCTAAAAACAAGATTCTATTTTAATGAACAGTTTGTCCAAGTAATATATTACCAGTTGAAATTTGGGCTTCAAAAAGAAGATAAAAAAACTGATGTTGCAGAGAAAGGGGCCATAGCATTGATGGACGAGTCTTGGTTATCTGATGACAGCTTTTTACACATCCTTTGCAAGGTAATCTACCTGGGCTTAGTACATTGTCGCAAATCATAAGTTATGTTTGTGCTTACTGCTTTCCTATGTGTGTTTAACATATTATTTAAGGAAAGAAACAAAATGTCAGTATCTTTACTATTTTGCCTCTTAATCTGAACCATATGTTGGGGTCAGTGACGTGATGCTTATAGTGTCAATTAATTATCTAAAATTTGTTAGCACTTAAAATTCAGGCTAAAAACTGTGGAGATATGTTACATTGGATGTCCTTCCTGTTCCAAGCATGAGGCTTTGAGCTCATCTTTGACATTTGGTGACTATTGGTTTCAGGAGTTCTTCTCGTTGCTGCTTGAGGCCCCTGTGATCGATGGTGACCTCCTATCATGGGTATGACTTTGGACCTTACAGTTACCCTGACATATAAAACACCCATTCTAAGAGGCAGAAGGTGCTCATGCCAGACGAAACAATTAAGCTCCTCTTCCGTCGCATGGAAGGGCACACATTGAAATCCCAATGATACAACCAGCAGCAATATATACTTGATCTCTTAATGTTTTATTTGCTGCTGTAGCCCGGATGGAATTCTTCCCAATAGTTACAACTTACCATTGTAATTTCAGAATTTTCAGTCAGGTCAACTTCAGATGTTGATTGACATCAAACTGTGTGCTTGCTATCACAGACTAGGAGGCTGAAAGATCTGCTGGAGGACTCTGTTGGTTGGGACTTTGAACCCAACAGTGCAGCTGATGAATTTAATCATGGAAATGATGAGGTATGTATGAACCTATACACACACACACGCACACACACATATATATATCAGTGTAATATTCAAATCAGTGTAATATTCAACTGTTGCAGTATGCTCCAGTTGTGGAGGTAATAGAGGATGATGTAGGTCAAAATGAAACAGAAGTCGCCAGCATGGGCACATCCTAAACCATAGTAGCACGAGGCAGTCAATTATACGGGTTTGTAATTTTAAAAACTTCGTCTTTTCTTTATGATCTTTTTTTATGTGAAAACGTTTGTGATTTAAAATATGGTGTGTTTTCATGACGTGAATGGTCAGGTTAGGCAGCGTGATTTCTACCTGCCCCAAAAGAAAGAGAAACCTTGTTCTGGGACGAACTAAAAAGAAAGTCTGAAACTTTTTATTGGATGGAGGGAGTGCGTTCCTTAGTATGAACGTTGAATATCAAAGAATTGCTTCCAATTCCTATCAATATAACTTTATAGGAGTATATTATACTTCGTGCGTGACAAAGCTCATTGTCGTCTTATGACATTTTCTATGCATGTGAAAATAACTTGTGATGATGATTTGAGAATTTCCATCTCATTATTTTATGAAGGTTTCTTTATGAATGGCATTTGGTGTGAAGCATTCCCACTTTTTTTGCACGAATTTATGCTTTTAATTTTGCACCACTAATTGACACTATTTAGGCCATGTAGTAATCTTCACATGAT